CGTGAAGGCGGCCGTGGCATGCCTTCGTGGGCATCGCCACAAGTCGAGCAGGTATGACCCTCATGCATATTCTGCCACACTTGCTGTCTCCGAGTGTCATCTATAGACAACCTGTCTGTTTCTCCCAGTTTTTCCCCTTTTTCTCTGTATCATTTTGTATGTTATAATTTCCGCGGATTCCAGTTTTTCTCCCTTCATTATAATTTAAGCGCAGTTTAGCGCGTATCAGGCAGGCACAGTGGGTTGGTCAAAGACCATGATTGAGATACGAAAAAAAAAAAAAAAACCCAGAAAGTTTAAAGGGGAACTGTCACCAAAAATTTTTTTTTTCTCATCTTGTAGTTCTTTGGCTCCTAATCACGATGGCGTTATCCGTTAAAAAAAAAAAAAAAAAAAAAAAAAAAAAAAAAAAAACTTCTACAGTCCTGCATGGTCACGTGAATCCGTTCGCGCGAAATTTGCATCTGCAGTGCCGTTCAAACCTGGCGCGAGATACGCACGGAAGTACGTTTGTACGATTTTCTTGACCCGGGTTGATTTCAACCCTCCCCTTGGGGGGAGGGTTGAAATCAACCCGCGAAATTCAACCCGGGTCAAGCGCAATGTGTCATGTAAACGCGCCATTTCACTTTGTGCACATGGCGGGTTGAAATCTGACCCGGGTCGAACTCAACCCGGGTTGAAACGCTTCATGTAACACAGCCTAGGTCATCAAGGTGGAAGACAATTGTCGTATTACCCTCGACCGTACCTGTCCCGTACCGTCCGTACCATCAAAGACGGCTTGCCACAAACAGCTGGCCACAATATTCAAATAGGGCTTTCAAATGCAAGATCATACGTGAAGCAACTTGGGAGAATTAGTATGTATGCGAAGTGTATCGGGGGATGCATGCAGGGCGATAGTGCGGGTTCATATCCCAGGTTATGTCTTGAAAAAATAAAAGAGAAATGAAAAATTTATAACATCTCTATGCTTTTTTGCCTAGGTCATCAAGGCAAAATAGCATAGCGTAGGCCCTGAGCTTCCAAGCTCTTTCGTTATGGCAATCAGGCAGAATCAGCGAAGCGGACATTGGACGTAGTAATCAACAAAAATAAAAGATGGATAATAAAAATTCCTAACACGATTTCTAGAGACATTCATCAGGGAAATACGTCTCAATAATGAAATCAAGCAATAAACAACAATATATACGTGGAAGAATACGAAATGCACTATGTGAAAGATTATGGGAGAAAAGAAGGTGAAGTGCGAAAGACTAGAAAAGTGTACAGATGGAAATTGAGGATGATCATACTAGAAAGAGAAGATAGATAGATAGAGAGAGATGAGAGAGAGAGAGAGAGAAAATGAGAGAGAGAGAGAGAGAGAGCGAGAGAGAGTGAGAGAGAGAGAGTGAGAGAGAGAGAGAGAGAGTGAGAGAGAGAGAGAGTGAGAGAGAGAGTGTGAGACAGAGAGAGAGAGAGAGAGAGAGAGAGAGAGAGAGAGAGAGAGAGAGAGAGAGAGAGAGAAGAGAGAGAGAGAGAGAGAGAGAGAGAGAGAGAGAGAGAGAGAGAGAGAGAGAGAGAGAGAGAGAGAGAGAGAGAGAGAGGGAGAGAGAGAGACAGAGAGAGAGAGAGGAGCAGGGGGGGGAAGGGAGAGAGTCCGAGGGGTAAAAAGAGGGAGAGAGAAAAGAGAGAGATTTGCTAAGAAGTACAGGAAAATACTCGCAGACAATACAGCATGGTGCTCTGTCAAGAGCTCTGTTTTATTCTTTGCCTCACCGCGTGGGCTTAGACACGCTTATCCAGTGGCAGGAGTAAGTTCATCTGACCGAGCCTTGTTTCATATCGCATCTCCTTGACAGCATGGCAGAGCTTGATATAGCCTTCACGCCCGTGAGCCAATATCATAAAGATTAGATCGTGATTGTGCGCAGGACCGCCTCGGTTTCTCTCAGTCAGCTGTAGATCTTGAATATCAGACATACTGAGGAGACCCTGTCGCTGGCACTTCTGACGTAGACCTGCAGCGGGCACGCTTTGAAGCCATGGTTGGATCTCACTGACGAACAGCGGTGCGTCAAAGGGGTTAGCCAGGTACACTGTGCAGCAAATGACATAGTAACACACAGTGATAAGTAACACACAGTGATAAGTGACATAGTAACACACAGTGATAAGTGACTAAAAGTTCACATCTTCGTCATCGTCAGGGTATGCTATGCGTGTGCGCTACTGAGAATGGGCGTCTGAACAAAGCTGTTGCGACTTCGGTGGTAATTGCTAAAGAAAGTGTCTGGTGCAAACGTTGGAGCTCGGAGCTAGAGCGCGCAACACAGCTCGTCATTTGGCAGGGAAGGACGAGCTCCGATGTTCGGAGCAGAAACTTCCTTTTAGAATGGTTATGTTGCGCAAAATGCAGTGAATCGTGACTTTTCAGTAGCCTAGGTCACATGGTACTGTTACAAGCACACAGACACATGCACCTCCCCCCCCCCCCCTCACCCGCATACCATGTGCCATGCCCCATGTATACGCCCGTCACAAGACAAGCATGCAAATCTGCAAATGCACTAGATGTGCACCCAGGGCCACTCCACACGAACATACACATTCATACCTTGACACCGGCACGCAGACAGACACACAGACACACATACAAACAGAGAGCCACATACACAAACAAGGCAACTGGGAATACTTGCACACATGCACACATACAGACATCCCAAGTGATTTAAAAGATACCTTACCTTCGTCACGTTCACCGGCATCCTCACTGAAAACACAGAGCAAAGGAGAAGAGACAGACATGAAACTGTGTTATCTATCAGCTATTCATGGCACAAGGGGTACATGGATGCAGCTAATGGGGTCATTCTCGGCACTTGTGCCAGTGGTTGTGAGACTTATCCACTCACCCCCACCGTTAGGCGCTGCATCTGCCGCTAGGATTTACCGGGTGTTAGCGGCCGTCGTGAGTTCCCTTCAGGAACGGACACGATAATTTTATTTTTTTATTTTTTTCATTCATGGCAAATAGAATCTGAAAGGATAAATAAATGGTGCAGCTCACGTGAAAGGGCGCTCAGCTGTGTTTGACCGAAACGGACAAAATCGCTTTCGAAGTTCGAACTTGACATCATTCGTGGCAGAAAACTGTGAACTAAAAATCCCCACCACGGCATGGTTAAATTAAAATTAAAATGTTGTTCATGGATTTCCACTAGGTTTTTTTCTATGAAAGTTAGAGCTAAGGCTAGCTAGGTGAGTAGATCAGACCCACCACCAAGTGGTCAAAGACCGAAATCCCATTAGCTGCATCCATGTTACTCTCGTGCCAGGCCACGAGTTCCCAATTAACTGTGGGTCGCAGCACGGCTGGAAAATTCCTTCCGCTTCCAAGCAGGACTTTAACCTGGTACCCTCTGTTTCTCAATCATGGTTTTAGACCATCCCACTATGCCCATCCCACTATGCCTGCCTGCCTGCGCCTTTTTCACATGCTCTGCACCAAATACTAGTGTTTGCATGCACGAGCGCGTGTATTGGCATGTATGAATAGTGGACACCGAAATGCATACACCTGTTGCCATGACTGCATAAGTGCACACACACCCGCCCACGCGTACACATGCACATATTCTCACGAACATGTACAGTACATACAAATAATCATGTCCACCAAGCTACTGTCGTGGACATGGGAATCAGATCGCACATCTAGCGGCCCCAGGGCACTGGCCATGCAGCCGTGTGTACACGGTACACACATGCATTTATGCGTTGCAGCGCGCTAGTCGCTTTGGATCAACATGTGCACTGCACGTAATGTTCTGTACGCATTGAAGGTGCCGGCCCCGGTCATCCAACAGGATTTTTATGTCCACAACAGGACATACACACAAACCTCGCAGTAACGGGGGGGGGGGGGGGGCACGCAACGTGCACGCACACATGTACACACGCACACACACACACACACACACACACACACACACACACACACGCGCGCGCACACACGCACACACACACACACACGCATGAACACAAAAACACACCCACACACACACGCATGAACACACACACACACACACATTACACAGTGCATACACTTACGTTCCTGACTTCGATTTCTTCATTCCTTCGATTCCAGTGCCAAACAGATAGCTAGGTTGTTTCTTCTCAACGAATCCTTCAAACAACACAGCCAGTACATTGGACAGGCACATACCCACACATGCACACACACACACACATACACGCACATACACACACACACACACACACACATACACACACACACACACACATACACACTCAACATACACACATATACACACACACATATACACACACAGTGCCAATCAGAGCAGCTCAAGCCAAGTGCTTCACGCACAAATTATGTGCAGAGCAATATGCCCACACTGAACGCTAAGGTCTGTCTACATTACATAGCTGTAAGTTCACGTTTCTTGCATCCTAGAGATCTTCAAACAGCGGTATTCAGTACAGTCGTCCCTCTCTAATCCGGCACTTGTTTATCCGGAACCCTTGCCAACCGGCGCACTTTCTGACGAAACAGATTTTTTTCGTTCAATCCCTACATCTTATTCCGGCACCTGAATTCCGCCTCCGGCAGTGACTTTTTGAAACGAATCACTCAAACTGCACGTAGTTTGATTTCATAATCCGGCAGTACGATCGTACAGTACTAGGTGCACTCCTTGCCAGGCCAGGCTAGGCCAGTCTGGTCAATGTTGTCCAGGAGACAACGGCTAAGCAGTCAACCATACTTTCTTATTTTAGCAAGGAGTAGTGTCCTGCCAATTTTCAGGTGTGTGTGTGTGTGTGTGTGCGTGTGGGTGCAAGAGTACATGTGAACATGTTCTCTGTTTTACTTTATCACTGTGTATATTCCCGGAGAACAATTGAGAATATAAAGCCGTGCACCAAATACTTGGGTCGACACGGAAAACCCTGCGTTTTGACGTACATGTATGATACATGCATGC